GCCAGCACAGGGAGCCCTGGGCTGGCCCCTCCCCCCCATGCCAGGCCTGTCTGCCCGCTCCAGCTGCAGCAGGGTGCCCTGGTGCTGCCCAGCACAGGTGCTGCCCAGTACAGGCTGAGGTGGGCAGAATAAATGCCCGTGGGCTCATTAGTGCCACCAGTGGAGCCACCTCGGGGCAGGGACCTCCCAGGTGCAAGGACTGAGCCAGGCTGTTCCCGGGGCTGGTGCCCTAACCCCAGAGCCAGGACGAGCCAGGGATGGGGGGTGTCCCAGAGTGGAGGCTCCCCGAAGACCAGAGCAGAGCCAGGTCCCCCAGGCTGCCAGCTGGTGCCCTAACCCCGAGCCGCTAGTCTGGACCCTGCAGTCTCCTGCCACTAATGGGGAGCTGCTGTCCCGCTATGGGGGGAGGGGCAGAGCAGTGTTTCAAGGGTCGTGCACACGCTCGCACGGACACTCACAGAGAGGGGCCCATGGACACAAGCGCCCGTGCCTTCAGAAAGGTAAACCTGCATATACACAGCAGTGCATGGACACGCACACGCACACGCAGTGCACAGAGACACACGTGCACATGCCCCAAGATGCACACGCAGGCGGGTGTGCACGCACACACACGTGCACAAGCCCCAGCACACAGCTGTGTTCTGCACAGGTGCATATCGCCAGCCAGCAACTCCACAATGACAAGCCCCATCAGCCAGTGATGCCCAGGCCAAAGGAGCCAGAGATGCCCAGGCCAAAGGAGCGTTGGCGGAGGCCGGCCCAGTGTGTGGTCCCCCGGCCTTGGCTCTGGGACAACTAGCCAGAGCCCGTGGGGCCAGGGTGGCTGTGTGGGTTGGACACCTGCCCTCGTGCCTAGTGCCAGGCAGGCTTGTCTGTGGGCAGCAGAAGCCCAGGACTGTGGCTGCCAATCAACCAGCAAGTGCTGCCAGCTACGCCGGAGTACTGGGGCCCCTGGTGGTCAGGAACATGCCTGGCTGTGAGGGGCCTGAATGCCAAGTGCATGAGACGGCAGGGTGCCCCTGGAAGCTTCACCCCCAATGCCTGAGCACAGTGGCTGGCACACAAGGGGCAAGTGCACCCCCAGGCATCTCGGGTGCATCCCAGAGCCTGGCCCGGCAGGGAGCAGCCCCCCCTCTGGGCGGCTGGACCAGTCCCACCTGGCAGGGAGCTGCCCGGGCAGCCTGAGGCCTAGGGACAGCTGAGAACCCATTTCAGCGGCAGGGGGGGTGCTTCGTCGTGGCTCCCCATGCCCACGGCCCTGCTGCCGCTGCCCCCGGCTCTGAGCTCCGGCTCCGGCTCCCCTCCCAGCTGTGCGGCTGCCGCGACTTGTTCTGCCAGCAGCAGAGCCCGGCTCAAGGCCCCAGGTGCCCAGGTCTGGAGGCAGCAGCGGGGCCGGGGCTCCTGGTGGACACATACAACCCCTTGCACACCAGAATCACACAGCAGTGCACACACAGGTCACTGGGCATGCCCCAATGCACACCTGCACCCACTCAGTCACAGGCACACACAGACTTACACACACACTTGCAAAGAACCCCGCACGCACACGTATGCATGGACACGTCACTGCACCCCCATGCGTGCCAGGATCCACTCAGAATCAGCCCCAGAGCACAGCTGGGCACACGCAGACCCACACTCACTCTCACGCTGGGGCTCCCAGCAGTGAGCAAACGGGCTGCTCAGGGTGTCACCAGCCCCCCCTCCCCCAGCCCCAGATGCTCCGAGGGGCTGGCTGACAGGGCTCTGAGTCACACCCAGGGTGAGTCACAGCCATGTCTGCACACACAGCCCTCCTCCTGTGGGGCTGGACCTTCCTTGTTCACTGCCCCATGACTCATCACTGCCCCCTCCCCTGGGAGTATCATGGGCCAGAGCTCAGTGGTGCAGGCCCAGTTACCCCGGGCAGATGAGTGCCATGGGTGTGGGGGGAGGGGTGCCAGGATGCTTTTGGTCCAAGGTGCACCTGGCCTGCCGCTCACCCAGCCCCTGGGTGCTTAGCTGAGGATGCTGGTTTGGAGAGGGGCCAGTTAGCACCTAGATCCAGGGGAGGCTGGTGCTGGAATGGGGAGACCACAGAGCCAGGCATAGGGCAGGCAGATTTTAGGGTCCCCTGCTAGCCCAGCCCTGGGCTGTCCTATACACACAGCCCTGCTGATGCCCTCACTCCCAACCTGCAGCCCTTGGCTCCCCCTTCCTCCTCCCCTGGCCCTCACTCACGTATCCTTACGCCCTCTGTGCTATCCTGCCCTGCCAGACATAGAGGGATCTGGGCACGGGCAGTGGGGCAGAGAGAAACCTGATCCCTGCGGGTGCCCTGAAGCAAGAGGAGCAGGGCAGGGTCTCGGGACAGGG